CTGAAACTGAAACTGGTGATTATAACTGTATCACTAAAATACTAGGTGACGGTATACTATTCAAAGTCGGAACAATTTTAGGATTTCGCATGAAATGCAAACGGTGGAAGCGACTTAGTGGTCTATGGAGAACCAAGAAAGTTGAACAAGTTGACAGTATCGAGAGATAAGTCAAGAATCATAACAACGAAATGTCCAGGAGACAAAAACGGGACCGAAAACAGAAGTGGAAAAGGTTTATGGTGACCCTTTTTGTGGTATACTGGACCACCGTCGAACTCCGGTTTATGGATTACCACAGTTCCACTCAGACGCTAGACTGACGGGAAAACCGAGCATAAAAAACACGTGAAACTTACTTTTGGCAATTGAAGGACAATGGGATCTTCGTTATAGGCATCCAGAGTACCATTATTGTGACCCCATGGAGACGGGAGATGACCGAGTAGTGGAGCATATGCGAATCCAACACAATAAGCGGCTGAGGCGTTCCGATGATAGAAATCCAGAAGCGCGGCTCGTTCGGGCAGTGAAAGTGGGGAGACATCTCGACCGTCCCAAACATCCGAGCACAGATTGGCCAACATACCACCCGTTGCCTGTGTCATTAGCTGATAATTACCATGACCCGTTGGGGTGGTAAACGCTGCAGAAAATGAGTGTTCCACGATACACTGGGAACAAAAAGTAGAATGGAACAACAGCAAAACATCATCAGTGCTTAGCATTGATACCGAAAGACAAATCGTGATATACAAACAAATAATCCCCGACTACTAACCAAATAGGTCACATTCATCGGTTTTCGGTGAAGCTTTTATTCTTGTAAGTCAAAATTACTTCGCGAGTACTTGTCACGAATCGCTTTTTTGGTACACAAATTCCTGAATATCAAACCAGAAGCTGTGCCTCGGTTACGCTCCCACGTTGGATCTACGAACCGCTGTCTGATTGGTCAGACTTTCTAGTCAAAAGCATTGGTTAGGGTCCGAAAAACCCTTCGTCAGTACGGGCTACCGCGAACAACGTCGTGTCCTAAAACCTTAGGCACCCATTTGGAAAACCAATTTTCTCAGCTGTCCGATTCTTCTTCTCATTCAAAATCGTATAATGTCTCCTATATGAACCAACATGGGCTGTCACTCAGCATTCAACTAATAAGGTAAACCAACGAGAAGTTATCCGATTTTCGAAATCAAAATCTGCTTTTCACGTGGTAACATTTATTGTCCGCACAATCTATTAGATCGGTCATGCAGTTTCAGACAGAACCATTGAAAATTTCAATTTAGATATATGCTGTCTCCGAAATACGCATATAACACCCTACTTCAATCATCATCTTGCGATTTCCAGGTCCGATCTCATCCTCCC